TGATACATCTCAGAGCAGTGGTCTCAGCAACTTGCAGGTTTTTCTTAGCAGGGTTCTTTATGTTGAGGAATATGGTATGTCCATATTCTATAATAGGTCTATAGATCATTTAATATATTGTAGTCATCGTTTGTATATTAATACCTCTTCCACCTTTTGTTAGACTCCTGAAGTGTTTGGCACGTTTTATTACATCCTTTTTTTTTGTTTTTGTGTGCATGTTAAAGTTTATTTTTTTGTCAATTGTGATGCCAAGGTATTTCGCTGAAGGCTGTGGTCTGATTGTACATGTCGATGGTGGGAGAATTCATTGTTATGTTGTGTTGAAAGATCATCATTGCAGACTTGGTGGGGTTAGGTCTAAGTCTCCACCTGTTAAACCAGGTTATTGTGTGTACTACCAATTGCTACAGGTTTACTATTGTACTTCGAAGATTTTTTCCATGTGAGATTAATGATGTGTCATCAGCATACTGTAGAATATACTGTGTGTTGTCAAAATGATTTGGATCGTTATTATACAGGATGGCCACTTTTTTAATGGGATTGTATTAGTAATTCCCAAACCATACTAGTTAGAAAGTCGGTTAAAAGGAGAAAAAGTTGTGTATCTCAAAGCCTACTCTAGCGGTGCAAATTAATCGAAAATAGTAGGCCCGGTTCTTGAAATATTTCGATAAATGGAAATTTGATCTTTTCGGTTTTTTGGTTTTCAGAATTACTAAAAAAATATTTTTAAGGTTTTTTATTTGATAGTAAATTTTCTTTAATTTGAAGTTTTCATATTTTGCATCTAACGTTTCGTATTCTCCGGACCACCCTCAACTTATTTTTTTTTTAAATATGGACCTGGATATTTTATAACATTATTTGAAATATCTTTTCATCCTGCATCCAGCGGTGTATTACACAATGGCATTCAATAACGGTTTTTGGGTAATATGGACCGTAATCAAAATTTTATTGTTATGGATCTGTATTGATTTTATAATCAGTGTTAATTTTTTCAAAGTGTATAATACTTTGAAGATGAAGTGATTAATTAGGAAAAAATAAATGAGAATCAATAATTATTCAATTATTTTATTTGCAGGATAGGCCAGCGCTTATAATGTTATTGTAGTGCTTAATTACAGGAGAATAATAGTAAATATTACTTCTTAGTAATATATAAACAATTATAATATCCGGGTATATCAAGAGATGCTGTCGAGGATTTTATCCACCACGTGTATCCCTTACCAAAGGGCCTCTACGTGTTGGTTACACAGCCCCACATATGCTATCCAAAGAGCTGGGACCAATGGTTTAAGACCAAGGTACTGGACTAACATAATAATACAATCATAAATATTATTACCCCATTTACATTAGAACGAATATAAAGCCATTTGTAATACATACAGGGTGCGGCATCCTATACACGTCGGTCCAGATTATGACATGATTTTTTTTAAATTACTTTTATACAGAGAGATGAATATCTATTGGAGCTCTAATTAAAAAATATTTTGGAATTCACAGTGTGATTCAAAAAGTTTTTATCTAAAAAGTATTAACATTGAAAAATTTTAAACATTACAACCGTTTTAATTACTTAGTACAATATAATATCAATACAAAATGAAAGTAATAGGTAGAAAGCAATTCCCATGCTAGCTAGTACATGGCTTGCATGAAAAATGCTTTTCAGCTAAACTAAAGTTAGATTATATCGCATATAATTTGGCAACTATGCATTTTTTTCAATTCGAGATTTGAGTTTTTGTTTAGTTGTTACAATGACAAGTGTCCCCATGGCAACAGTTGTTCCGAAACTGACCTCAGCGAAAGTTAAATTAAATCATCTATAAGTTGGCAACTATGCATTTCCATACCACTGAAGTTGGGTTTTTTCTTTAGTCGTTACCATGACAACTGCTTCTATGCCAACAGTTATCTATAAATTATCTATAACTTGACAACGCTCGTTTCCTCATCACATGATTTAGCTTTTGTTTAGTCGTTACCATAACAAGCGTCCCTATGGCAACAGTTTCCCCATGACTGATTACAGTTAAACCAAAGTTTAATTAAATCATATAACTTGGTAACTACGCATTTCTTCACCACAAGATTTGGATTTTTGTTTAGTCATTACTATGACAAATGTTCTCCACAACTGATTTTAACTAAACTAAAATGAAAATTAAATCATCTATAACTTGGCAACTTCGCATTTCCTCACCACGGGATTTGGGTGTTTGTTTAGTCGTTACCATGCCAAGCCTGGGGGGGCAGAATTTATGTCAGCACCCACTAACAAAAGAACTTTCAGAGTTAACATAGGGGGTTTTTAATAACAAAAAAAAACCTGTGTTTTGTCACATGCACTATCATACAGTGTTTCTACTTAAGTCGGAACCATATGGATAACTTTTTTTATTACTGGTTTTGTGAAAAAAATTCATATGTGATAAAAAGTTCTACATGGTCCAAAACATAAAATGCAACCATCAGATATCAATTTTTTTTAAGCCGTATACGAGGTTTGTCAAAAAATATGAATTTTACTCAAGAGTAAAGTGCCTTTATTTTTTACAATACAGAAGAATGTTATAAAATAAAGGTATTTTATGAATTAAAAATATGCAATTATAACCATTTAACATTAAAATTCAGGATGGGTGATTATTTAATTTACAAATAATTTATAATGTAAAACGTAAATAATCACCTAACCTGAATTTTTATGTTAAATGACTGTAATTACATATTTGGATATAACTTTTAATTCTAAATAACTTTACCTTATAACATTCTTCTGTATTTTAAAAAATAAGGTACTACTGTTGAGTAAAATTCATATTTTTTGACAAACCTCGTATACGGCTTAAAAAATTGATATCTGATGATTGCATTTTAAGTTTTGGACCATGCAGAACTTCTTATCAACAATAATTTTTGTCAAAAAACCAGTATTAAATAAAAAGTTTTCCATATGGTTTCAAATTAAGTAGACACACTGTATAACTCGGAACGGACAGACAATTGAGGAGCAACTATCCAAAATGCGTTAAATCCATTTTTTATGACTTTTTAGGTAAATGAAAGAATGTATATAGTGTATTTTATTCAATCTATCATCATGATAATCCATTTCTATCAAAGTGCTTTAAATCCAATAGAAATAGCCATAACGAGATCACTTAACTAAGCAAAATGCATTAGATCCATTTTTCAGTGAAGCAAAACGCATTAAATCCAGTCGTGTTTAAGCAAAGCGCAATAAATCCATAAAAAAGATTTCTCCCTAAAAAGTTTTATTCCTTTTAGGTATTTCAAAAAATGTTAGAATAAACATTCGCCAATAGGTCACATTGTGTTTTAAACTTGTCAGAATAAAAGTAGGAGTACGCTGCATTAATGGTTTGATGCTTTGAGTGACGTTAGAACTAAGTACCTCTGCGTGTTTTAAAATGGAAGACATAGAGTGTAAAGAATGGCAGTGTGGAAGTCGAAAAAAAAAAACGTAAAATATCTAAAAAAACTAATAAAAAATGTAGAAGGTAAGATAATAATGAAAAAACTAATTGTAAATAAAGATATACTGCTTAAAAAATTTAAATGACCTTGCACTTTATTACTACTTAAAAAACAATCGCCTGAGAGCTTAGCTGAGATTAATATTACCTTTCCAGTAAGAGGACATAGTTTCTTACCCGCCGCGATAGAGTATTTGGTCGAGTGGAGAAAGTTTTAAGAAAGCCACAACAATAAAGAATAAGGAAGGGTATGATGAGATATATAAAGAATTTGGAGAAGTAAAATGTCTTGGACAAGACTGGCTACTTTATGATATCAAACACTTACAAACCTATTTAAAAAAGACTAATAGTATATCGGATATGGAAAGAGTTGTGTTGCGAAAAAATCAAGCTGCGTGCATAACCATAACCTTCTTCCAAAACTTTAGGTTTGAAAGTACAGCTGAGACTCCAAAAACCCTCCTTAAAAAAGGTAAAAAAGATTCTGAGTTAAAAATGGAAGCTCTTAAACTTGGAAGACCACTTAAGGAGAAAAAGAAAAAATCATTGAAGCCCAAGAGTATGGCGAAGAATGGGAACAAGAAGATGATCTAGTATGGTACAAAACTATTTTACAAGCTAGTGAAGATGAAATAGAGGAAGAACAAGGCGAGGCCTAAAATACCTGCCACTGTCTGGAGGAAGATGTTGGTTTCATATTTAATTTTATTTTTTAATTTTCGTTAATAAAATCAGTTTTTCACAAAAGTTGTAAATAATGTAAAATGAATCATTTTAAGCAAAACGCAATAAATCCAAATAATAATTAAGCAAAAAGAAATAAATCCACACTAACTAGGCAAAATGGCATATATCCATATTCTAGTTGAGCAAAACGAAATAAATCCATTCAAAAAATACACATATTGTTGGGAAAATCTTAAATTTGAACTAAAACTGATATTTCTCTTTAAAACTGTTATTTATATCATTCTGCAGTAGATAAAAATTGCAGTTTCTCTTCAAACTCATATCTCTAGTTTTTTTAGTTTTACTTAAAACAACATATTATGGATTTAATGCATTTTGGATAGTTGCTCCTCAATTGAGAGAAGTCATAATAAAAACAAATGTTCTCGTTATAGATATCTTTCATTTGGCATTAATCTTATTCCTATTGGGAGGTGGGGCAAAAATGCCCATTCTCCTTTGAAGGCAAGACACAATTTCGGAAAAATTTTATTTGAAAATGAATAATGATACACAAGAATCCACAACAAAATAAGGGACCACCATTGACGCGGTATTTTCCAGATATTTAGAGGATATCAAGTTTCAAACTTATGTTTCTTATTTCAGTTACTATAAACATATAGTTTCAATGATAAAAAATCCTGAATAACCTACATGTATTGTAAGATAATAAAAGTATTTTAAACAATATTAACTTCTCATTTATTCAATAAAAGAAAAAAAATTGTTTTCTTATCGGTCACCACCCTCAAAAAGTGTACAAAGAAAAAAAAATACTGCATAAATAAAATAAATAATTATAATTGCATAAGTTGATAAAAAATGCTATGCAATAGCTTTACCGCGGCAGTCCCCGAATGCCACATGTATTTTTTTTTTTTTTTTCAATAATGAACTTTGCTTTGTTTATAAGGACCATATTTAAAAGTTTTTCAGCCATACCTAATTAATTTGACGTTCTTATTAATTGTCTGATTATAGCATTTTGCTTTATAATACTTAACCATTTTATTTAACCCATTTATTTTCTTAGTGGACTTTGATTTCAGTTTAATATACATCAATAATAAATGTTCATACTTTTGTTTATAAGTATATGTGCCGGATGAATTACTTGGCTGCAGTTGGTCTGTGGATGTACTTCGAGTATCCAAAAGTTTAGACGGCTCCAGATTGATGAGATTTGTTTTATGTGAAGATTTCACCAGCTTCCTCTTTCTCTTTGTTTCAGTTCTTTTGGCTTCAAGTTTTTCACTTCTAACATTCAAATTTAAAGTGGGAACAGCAGTTTTTTGAAGAACTCTGCGTAAAGGTAAACCTACAATATGTTTTGAAAATTTATTTTTAATGGAATTATGAATATTATTACGAAGTTACCTAAAAGTTCATTTTGAAGATCTCTTTTGTAATCATCTGGAGTAAAATGTAGTGAGCATATTGTAGCAGTTAATGGATTAAATTTAGTTTCTCGTTTACAACGTTTTATCCATTCTTTTTTTATTGTATTTGAAACTGAATCATTTTGTTTCGGGAAGGAATGAAATATTAATTTAACACCTGCTTTCATAAGCGTTAACCTATTGCTCTTGCAAGAAGCAATAGCACAATTCTGCCCAGGCATTGCTATATAAAACAACAAACAATGATTTAGAACATATTTTTCTGTTTTATTGAGAAAACCAAATTTCTTCAAATATTTCAGAAATAATTAGTAGCAAAAATGTCAATACTAATTACTAATCACAAAAATAAATTTAAAAACGTTTAAAGTTTCTTGGCTCAAAAACTGTTGAAAACAAAATATTAATATTTTGATGTTTTTTTACAAGGTAAATATTAGGTTATCGACTTCTTCTTTACTTCCATATACTGTTAAATTTTTGTGGTCTCTTTCTTCAGAGACGTGTAACTTCATAGGAAAATTTGTTAGCTATATCAAGCTAGCGGGCACTCTGTGGCGGCACCATTCAAGACCTGGCGGGTTTTTTGTAGCTTTTTTGTTACACTATTTGCAAATTTGTAGCTTAGCCCAGGTCCGAAAAAACAGCGGATCCGCTAGCTTGAATTTCCATAAATTCCATAGTAGCGGCACAGATTCAGACCCAGCTAGTTTTTTGTAGCTTTTTTGTTACGCTAGTCTCCCTTTTGTAGCTTGTACTGAACCTGAGAAAAGCGCGGATCCGCTAGCTTAGCGGATATTTTTAGCGGCACCAGCTCGGACCAGGCTCATTTTTTGTATCTTTTTTGTAGCTTTTTTGTTACACCTGTCTCCATTTCGTTGCGAGGCCTGAACGTGAGTAATAATCGTTTCTCCATGAGCGTGAGAGAAAAGTGCGTTAATTAAAATCAAGTTTCAGCCTCTACAAGTAATATGTGCAACTCGATAGTGTGACTATTTGTTGATAGATGGCACCAGTATTGCATTTCACGAATTATGGCCATCTTCCATCCAATATATTTTTGAGAAATTTAAATATAATCTCAAAATCGGACATTTTCAACGGTATGTATATTAATTATTTGTTCGATATTAATGTAACATACATATTGACAAGATTATTAAAATAGTTGTATGCCGGACGCCACTATTTTCCCAATCGGGTGTTTTCGGTTATTTTTACTGCTAAAAACTTACTGCTAACTTCACACCGGTGGTAATAGCTACCCAATGAACTGGAGTGGGGTAGAATGCTTGTCAATAGGCTTGAGATGCGACTCTATGGGCGAAGACAGGTTATTTTTCATCTTACTCGGGAGTATTTATAACAACCATTTTCTATTTCACTTTGTTATTGTCTGATCCACCAGCTTGTGGATTGAACAATAACAATGTGAAACAGAAAATGGTTATTATAATATATAATAATATATATATTATATAATAATATAATACTCCCGAGTGAGATGAGAAATAAAAATGGCGGCGCCCATAGAGTCGCATCTTGTTTTATTGATACAATATGCACATTGGCTTTCTACCCCTCTCCACTTCATTGTAGCTACCAAGCAATTACCACATACTTATAATAGGTATACGGAGCAAGAGAGACGTCCGACCTGTTTAACAAAGGGGCGGCCATTTTTATACAAGATTACTAGTACATAGGTGACCAAAAATACAGCAATATGAAAACTTGGTTGCAGATGTCTACGTCTTTTCACTTTTAAATACATCATTTTGTACAGATTTTTTAAAAGAAATAATACAATATTATATCTGAATTAAATTTTTATTCTACAACAAAAAAAAATATTTTAATGTTTAAAAATACATGTTAGGCTGATAAATAATAGGCCGACAAATAATAGATTAAATACCTAAATACTAATTTTAAATGACAAAAGTACAGTAGAGGAAGTTACAAATATTAAAATTTCCAGGATACTTTAAAATTAAATTATTGATGGTTGCATATTTGTTTTATTTTAAACAATTTACTTTCTTCTTGTATAATTTCTAAAAGCTACAAATTTTTAGTGAACGGGTCGTCCTTATTGATTCTGCAGTGAATTGTACTAACAACTTAAAAGAAATTTTGTCCAATCTATATATGGCAGATAACCATAATAAGGAACGATCTGCTTGTTTTGGAACCCTAAAATAATATAAAGGCACTTATTTCATAGCCTTTATTTTTGCTAAATCTTATTACTTACTTGTAGAATGTAACATTTGAATCTATTGGCAACAGTTTCCTTATGTTCTTGCAAGATCTTACAAGACAAGACATCTTGAATAAAGCCCAGTATAGAGAACTTATACTGGGATTAAAGTCTATTCACAAATGTTAAAATAAATAAAACGTTTATACACTTAGAAAATAATATCCACAATCAAAATATTCTAAAATAACACAAAAAAATTTAACCAAATTGACACACATTAAAATTTGACACTTTTGACAGATGGAAAGATAAATTGGTTGCATAAGTTTCAGTTTGTTTATATAAAAATGGCGGTCATTTCTATCTTCTTTTATTAAACACTCAGTAAAGATGCGCAGAGGGTTTTACGCCGTATACCTATTTAAGTATGTGGCAATTACCTATTCTCACTATATACATAGTGTTCCATCTCAGACGAGCCACCCCGTATAGTAGTATCCCATAGTAATGGGCCATGTTCACATGTGAGATATGCTGTTTTATAAATTATATTGTAATAGTTAATCGCTATACTAAGTTATTCTAAATAATCAATTCGTTAAAAAAGCCAAAAGTTTTTAAATTAAGCACAATTGAAATTTAAAATTTGAAATGTATACGTCATCGGGAATAGACCAATCAGCTTGTGTCGAAGTTTTTTTTGTTATACAAAACCAAGCCAACGAACAAACCGACACACAGAAGGCGAGTTCGGTTAGTCAGGGGCAGGAGCGGGAGAAAAGCGGAGTTTTTTAGGGTATTTTTAAATGACATTTAAGCGTGTTAAACTGTCACTAATTGGACTAAACACTAAACATGACACTAAACCACATACTTTTAAAGAGGTCTGACACGCCCAACATTGGGCGCGGCCATTTTGACTCTTTTACTACTATGTTAGGCAACACATATTTATCCAAAATGTTAAACTGGTAGCCTACCTCTTGATATTTTGAGATTTTAAGTGAAGGTATAGAGAAAGTAAAAGTTGAAAAATCTTTTGGTAGGTAGAGAGGGGGTAAACGTCAAACCACGTCGGGCGGCTCCGAGAATTTCACAGTAATGTTTACCTGCCAGTGTCGTTTCATAGAATAAGTAATTTTAAATTGTTATCGGCGGAACCGGACAATCGCATGTATTTATGGATTATAAATAAATATTAAACATGTATTATAATATTCAAATTATAATTTTACAAAATTTCAACAGCTATTCACAATTTATTAAACTATTTACTCGAAATTGTTATTAACATCTATAAAATAATTTTGTACGCCAATGTATCGTGTCCACTTCGGTGAGATCCGCTGACAACCTGTCAATTTTTGTGTATAAAGTGGGAGAACTGGCAAAAGCATTTCCAACTTTTACTTCTGTTATACAATGATTTGCCGCGTTTGAGAATCCACTTTGGATGCATTTTTTACATCTCGAGCGTTTTTTTATCCACATCGGACACATCTGTCCCATTACATTTACGTACACTGAATCACGTGATCAAAGATTTTTTACATCTCAGATGCATCCGATGTGGATTCTCAAACGCTGCAATAATTATCTAAATTTCTCAAAAATATATTGGATGGAAGATGGCCATAATTCGTGAAATGCGATACTGGTGCCATCTATCAACAGATAGTCACACTATCGAGTTGCAGATATTACTTGTAGAGGCTGAAACTTGATTTTAATTAACGCACTTTTCTCTCACGCTCATGGAGAAACGATTATTACTCACGTTCAGGCCTCGCAACGAAATGGAGACAGGCGTAACAAAAAAAGCTACAAAAAGGTTACAAAAAATGAGCCTGGTCCGAGCTGGTGCCGCTAAAAATATCCGCTAAGCTAGCGGATCCGCGCTTTTCTCAGGTTCAGTACAAGCTACAAAAGGGAGACTAGCGTAACAAAAAAGCTACAAAAAAGTTACGAAAAACCAGCTGGGTCTGAATCTGTGCCGCTACTATGGAATTTATGGAAATTCAAGCTAGCGGATCCGCTGTTTTTTCGGACCTGGGCAAAGCTACAAATTCGCAAATAGCGTAACAAAAAAGCTACAAAAAGGCTACAAAAAACCCACCAGGTCTTGTATGGTGCCGCCACAGAGTGCCCGCTAGCTTGATAGAGCCAAATTTGTTCGGTGGTCCATTTAAATTACATATATGACTTTCTTTCTCTTTTACATTGATCTTTACATATGTTTATCTCTCTCCAATAAAACTAACACCAATTTAAGAGGTCGCTGATGTTGCTGGTTTTTTGACGTTGACGAATCCTTGGGTAAGTTCGGTTTAGAACTCGACGGATCGCACAGAGCGCGCACGGAGTGCGTGACGTCATAGACAGAGTTCTCTTTTTAGAATCTCAAGACGAACACAAGGGGAATGACATATGACACTAGTGATAGTTTGCACTTGAATACACTTTTGTGTGTGTCTATGGACTGTAAAAAAATAATTTTAATCAAATAGAAAATAGTTATAACAGAAACAAACAAGAAATATTACGTGTAAAACTGATTAATCACCGATCAGAAAATTGACATTTGACATTTTTGACACATTCCTACAGATACTCGCTGATCTCCATCGGCCAACTCGGGGAAGAGTGAGCGCGCTCTAAGTACGTGATCTGTGGCAAGCCGAACACAAAGAGTACGCTCTGAGTGCCAAGGCGACCACAATCGAGGCATACCGAGTGCACTCTGAGTACAGGAGTGCGTTTAGAAACCCCGCACGGCGCGTCTGGGCCCTATTCTAAGCTATATCAAGCTAGCGGGCACTCTGTGGCGGCACCATACAAGACCTGGTGGGTTTTTTGTAGCTTTTTTGTTACGCTATTTGCGAATTTGTAGCTTTGCCCAGGTCCGAAAAAACAGCGGATCCGCTAGCTTGAATTTCCATAAATTCCATAGTAGCGGCACAGATTCAGACCCAGCTGGTTTTTCGTAACTTTTTTGTAGCTTTTTTGTTACGCTAGTCTCCCTTTTGTAGCTTGTACTGAACCTGAGAAAAGCGCGGATCCGCTAGCTTAGCGGATATTTTTAGCGGCACCAGCTCGGACCAGGCTCATTTTTTGTAACTTTTTTGTAGCTTTTTTGTTACACCTGTCTCCATTTCGATGCGAGGCCTGAACGTGAGTAATAATCGTTTCT